CTTATTTATTCATATTGCCAATGCAAAGTTTGAGTGTACAAATTATTTTTTAATAGAAAAATATTTTTACATAATACTTTATAACATATCAAAATATTTTACCAATACAAAGTAAGGAGAGGTTAAAATATGAGGTAAAATTCAACAAACCTATGTAAGCTAATGAGGCAAAATCATATAGTTCTGTGAGCATAAGAGGCGAGTTTGGACAATTTAAGAAATATTTTTTTTATGTGGCTTTATCTTATTTTATTACACTTAAAACTGGATCTGGCATTATGGTAAATTATGATGAAATTTTAACATTTCAAAAAAATTTCAATAGTAGATTCAATTTGATTATCAGAAATAATACTGTAAAAAAAGTCAAAATATTCAAATATAATCATAATCTACATGAAATTCTCTTACATATAAGTGGTCAAACATGCTAAAATGGCCTTTTGTAATCACTTTATTTGCATATACACAATAGCACCTCTACCAACAAAATTAAAGCATCTACCATTGTTTGTTGACCCCATTGACCTGAAATGGACACTATTTGAATGTTAACTTTGATAGTGTTTAGTCACTGATGTTACCAGTCTTCCTTTACAGAAAACTAGTACCATAAATCCAGTGTTTATAAAATGGAAATAAGATTATATGTCTTTTCTTTTACAACAGAGGCAAGTACGAAAAAAGTATTTCTGTGGATGACATTTTTCAAAAGATAGTCCTTTACAATCTACCCACACAGAAACTCTTAAATGTAGCACACAATACATATTGTACAAGGTTTATTTTTAATGCCAATAAACATCCATTAAAATAAATATTTCTAGTATATCAAAATCAGACCAATTATTATTATAGACACAATTCAACATTTAGAGAAAATATTTCACAAATTAATATTATAGAATATATTTTAACTACTAAAAGTAATTAACTTTTACCTATAATAGTCAGGTTATTTTTTTATGCATAACATCAAATACTTAGGTACTAAGTAACAAACAATAAAGATGAATGTATAAATAGCCAAGATACTGAAGCTGATAATTTACTTCAACTACATGGTGTTTTCATGAACATAACTGAGGCTATGAATTGGTTCCTCTGTATAATTAAAATACTATGCTAGAGTTCTGCTGTGAAAATATAGTAGGAATCACTATTATATATAACTATCCTTTTCTTCTTAAATTCAATTGTAAAATAATTGAATTGTTATAAGTGGCAAATGAAATTGCTAATTTTATATAAGTAATTCATATATTATAATACAAGTCATAATTTTCAAATAGGAATGCATTTTTGAGTTTGTGAGCAATGTAAAGTTTGAAATTCAACAGATAATATATAATGTACTTCCAATTTTCTTTTATTTACAAAAAGTCTATACCTGTCTCATTTAAAATTTTGTTAATATTAAAGTGCTTTCAATATTGAAAACAATATGTACATTTGATAAAAATATCAATATGATCACAGTTTTATGAGGCTAATACAGAATTATCAGAAAAAACATCAGAACTAAATGGTAAGCCTAACTGATAATCCAAAAATAAATCCACACAGTTTCAAACACAACTACAATTTACTTTTTGTATAATCTTTTCATAATCAAACATAACTGAAATACTTAGTGTGATAGCTATCAATTCCTTATTTTTGTATGTGTACATAAAAACGTTTACATATAATAAAATGAATGGCAATTGGAAAGAAAAAACTGTTTTACCGTGTAATTAAAATTATTAAAAGAATTATAGCATAATATGATGTTTCTCAAACACATCTTGAAAGCCACATTCATAGTTGTTGATGTGAAGCTTACAACAGTCTAAAAATCAAGGTATAATTCTATTGAAACATACAACCTCTAGTACATTTAAAGACAAACATAACACGCATGAAAAAAAAGGAAAAAGATTAATTATTAATTAATAGTAAACACACATTTAGATATATTAAAATAACTTCAAGATCAATAAATAATTTACATACTGATCAATAACATTCCCCTTAAATATTTGAAAATTTTTTTGTAACATAAACAGCACAAGACAAAAAGTTCCACTTATGAAGAGTTATTAAATTATTTTGAAAAAGTTCTTTTTCTGGGCTTTCATTCTTATTCTAGCTTAAATTTCACAATTAATTATTTTCGGGTACAAATATTGAAACTTGAACATCAGTCCCTTTAGTGTTATGCTTCAAACGATTCTTTTTCTTTGCTTCCATTAATCTTTTTCTTGCTTCTTCCCGCGTTCTTGCTGCTTCCATGGCCTTTGCTGACCTTTCATGCTGTGGACGCAATGCCTTATCCATTCTTTGTTTTCCTGTTTTCTTAGACCTTACTTGGTTTTTTTTATCCTGTCAGAAGATTAAAAAAAAAAGAAGAGCATTTGACTTTAATTGAACAATAGAAAAATATCTCATATTTTAAGTACTAAAAAATTTACATAAAAACAAACCACAGGAAAAACTGAAACAAAAAATGAACAACATCACACTAACTGAAGAATAAAATCAAACTATGGGATTAAGGTTAATGGTTTTAAGTTTGCATCAACTACTCATAAAAACCTTTAATGCAAGAGAGACTTGTTACTTGACGAAGCTTTCTTGTTCTTATTCAGTACTCATAAAGGTAGTAAGGTAAAGCCAATTTCAAATAAATAGTTTGGTAATCCAGCTACAACTATAAAATTTTATTTATTTGCCATAGTATCTTTAGTTCTTATCCAGAAACATTACTATGTTTGTACATGAAAATGACTGCACTAGTGGTTGAAATTTGTATTATTCTAATATAAATAATTTTCCAACTATTCACTATAAAATGTCACCAAATTTGAGTATTATTGAATATACTTTATATTGATCTATAAAATGGTGTGTTAGAATATCTTATTAACACTAATATCTTTACTTTCTATGGTTTAGTCAACAAAACACATACTTTTGTGAATTATCTTACAATTCACCTATTATGAACACACTGACATCTACTTCTGTCTTTTAAACATAGAGACACATTAGAAAAAATTTTCAACATTCTAGAAGTATAAGCTAAGATGGTGTTTTTGAATTTCTTCTTAAAAAATAACATTACATACACTGCTCAAAATAACTGAGGGAGAGTCTGAGTTTTTATATATACTAGCTGTGACAAGACACAACCAATGTTATTAAATAATCATAATTGGTATATATTGATTTCACCAAAGCTTTCTGTGATAATAATGTAACATTCACAAACCTCTTTGTTTGTTAATTTCTCTTGCCAATTATTAGCTTTTAATATTTCTATGTTGGTAAGTGTATCTTGAACATCTGCAACTTGCAACAGCACCATGTCCCAGAATCCAGCTAAGTCAGAGACTGTTGTTGGAAAGGGTTCTGTCAGATTCTGATTCTGAAATAAAAGAAAGAGGCTGAAACTTAATTTTGCATATAATTTAACATTGTAGCATAATGGAATGATTGAATTTTATCATCACATTCATTGTGTAACAGGATAGTAAACTTAGATTTATTTCAAAAAATCCTGAAAATTTTCTCAATAATAGTTATTTCTTTAGACAATCACGACATGTTTTTGAAAACAAAATATAATGCTCCACTAAAAATCAACCTTTGCAACAATCTATTTGAAAGTTTAACTTGTACATTTAATTTTATCCAAAAATCTATGAAACACTGTCAATATGGTAAGAAAATTGGTTGAAATATTTATTTTGGAGTTTTTTGGTCTTTATACGATAATATCACAAAACCAAACCAAGTGAATTAGTGCTCAATAGTTATGTACTAGTAATGTCCATAAATAGTATGGCTTTTTATAATGTTTTGTATTGATTGCAGAAGTGGTGGAATATGAGGATACAGATGAAAAATGATTTACTTATACCAATGCTTCATCCATTCTATCATTTACCCATTCACGATACTGGTTGATCTGGGCGATTAACTCTGTTACCTATGACCATTTATTAGATCAATTAGAGTCATAAAATAATCAGTTAACTGAAATTAGTTTCCAATTAATCGATCAGTATCACAACTTATGAAAATAATCAAGTAATCAAAATTAGGTTTTTCAATTATTATTATTTTCTATTATTCCAAATGTCCAAGTAATTGCAATTACGATTTCTCATTAATATTATTGATGAACACAAGTTTCTTCAGTTTAGGTCCTAGACGGTCCCATGATTAAGGGGCATGCCTTGTGTTTTGAGGGTCTCGGGCTCCATTCTCATTGTCTCCAAACATGCTTGTCCTTTTTAAACTCGGAGCCACTGTATTTATTTCTTTGTTTTTGAGTTTAGCAAAGCTACAAAGGCTATCTGTCACTGTCCATAGCATATAACTGCTAACTAGAGGGAAGACAATTAGTTGACAGTGCCCCCTCCTCCCACACTCTTAAGATGTTTTAGTATTAAATAGTGTAAATTCGTGGGAATTTTACAATATAATATTCTTCTAATTTATAATTGTGTAGGTACATTCTTTAATGTTGAATACACCATAAAATCTGTTTTTACTTTATGTTATGCCTCCCAGTGGCTCAGCAGCAGGTCTCTGAGCTTTTGATGCTAAAAACTGGGTTTTGATACCCATTGTAGGCACAGCAGACAGACCATTATGTAGCTTTGTGCTTAACAACAAAAATTGTGTATTTTTGTAATTAATAATGTGCATAACTGTATTCTTTAGTGTTAAATATACTATAAATTCACTTTTTCTACATAGCGTACGTATTATGTTTGTACTGTCACATCTCTTACTTTCATGAATTTGTATTCCAGTGAAAGTTGTGACAGGTACTGTTATTTTTCGAACTACAACTCTCTGATCAAATGTCCACAAAGCAGTATTCTTTATAAAAAACAACAACAACAAGGAACCTATCAATCCATCTGGGTCATCTCATGCACTTAAAAACAAACTAAAAGCCAGCCATTATTATTCAATATTTATTGAACCTTTCCTTAACTTTACAATAACCCCCACATCTGAAGATAATCCATTTTAATGTCTAACCATCCTGTTAGGGAAATAAGTCTTTCATAGATGAAGATCACTCCTACACTACCAAAATTTATATCTGCAACTTCTAATCCTACTATTCTCACCATTACATATAAAGAAAGATGATGCATCAAAATTTTCTTAACAATCTTAAACACCTCACTTAGATCACAATTACCTCTTCTTTTTTCAAGAGAAAATTTGAGAGAACTTCACCTGTCCTCTAATGATTTATCTTACCAATTCTCTTCTGAACCCTTTCCAACAATTAATGTTTTTCTTAAATTAAGGACCTCAAGACTGGATACAATATTCTAAATATTGCCTGATCAGAGACATATACAATGAAATTAAAACCTCTTTAGACTTGTACTCAGTATGTCTGTAGAGACAACCTAAAATCCTATTTGGCCTGCTACTAGAAACAGACATTGCTTGGATGGCTTAAGAGACTGCTCAACCAATATCTTTTTCTTCCATAACATTGTTAATGTTATTCCCATCAAATTATAATTAAAGTTACGTAATCACATGCATTACCTTGCATTTATTATAATGAAATACCATCTGCTATTTATTCATCTAACTCTTTAAATAATCTAAATCCTTTTGCAAAGCACAAACATCCTTCTCACAACTAGCAACACCCAATTTAAGTAATTTATTGACCATTCCTTCATTTATGTCAGATATGACGTTAAATCCAGCTTGACTGAATTTCATTTATAACAGCCTTCTGCTTTTTTTCCATCCAGCCACTTTTCTATCTACTTGGTCATGACACAATTTTATACATGTGATGAATTACAAATGTAAATGATTTTTAATAGACAATAGCAAAATGAGTAAATAAATATAGCTTTAAAACTTACAAAAATCAATAATTTCTTTAAGATAGAACAAAAACACATAAATGTTCTTCTAAACTGTATTTGATCCTATGAAATAATATTATGTAAACATATTTCACGATCAATTATGTATAGACGGTAATTTCAGTAAAAGTTTAACAATTTTTCTTCCAGAAATGTCTGGAGAATGCAATCTGTATGTTTACCATTCAGCAACTTTTCAAACTTGGTTATGCAAATAACCAAGTTTTATAATGAACTTGTACAAAGAATGTAAAAAGAAACACACAGTAATAATCTTATGTTAAAAGATAGTTGTGTTTTTTATTCAATCATTATTAAGCTAATTCTTGCTAATAAGCCTTATTGGATAATTTATTGTATGTTGCTACCCAGTATTTTTCTAAAAAATTCATGTCTTTGTTTCCCAAAGCACTATTTCAAACTGTTTTTACAGTGATAATTGTTTTAATTTAATGACAGGAACTATATAAGTATCCTTATCAAGTAACAATTTCCAAAATTATCAATCTTTAACATTACTATATAATTGTTTAAGTTGAAGAATACAATGATCTACATACTATTAAAATGTGTAGTATCACTTATCCCATTATGGTTACCAATGTCATGCTGTCATTGCTAATTAATGAGCTTTCTCATTTCAGAGAAACAGCTTTATATGTAGGTGTTAATAAGCTTTTCATACCTATGCTTTTGCTTGTTATGACCAGGGAGTGTTCTCTTATTCATTTCAAAATTATTACAAATAGCCAAATACTTTCTTTTGCAAGAGTACATAATTATCGATTTACTCTGTGGAATGTTTTTAAAACAAACTTATAAATGCACATGGTGTTATGTACATGGTACAAAACTCAGAATTAGTGTGTTGTTTATAGTAAAATTTGAAAAAAAATGTGGTTTATTTTATTTTGCAAATAGTATTAACTCATTAAAATTTGTTGCCTACAAAATGCTTGAAAAATAGGAATTTATTTCATTTTTCAAATAATATTAACAAATTAAGCCTACAAATACAAGCTGGGTGGGATCAACCCAGCTCGTAACCACGAAAAATATCCATGAGAGTAATTATACTATAATTTTTCATAATGTATGCATATCTTTACAAAAGTTTGCAGATTACTAGTAAACATTACACGTCTTTCATACACAAAACATCAGGTGTTTTTGAATTTCGTGCAAAGCTACACGAGGGCTATCTGCGCTAGCCGTCCCTAATTTAGCAGTGTAAGACTAGA